ACCATAGATTTTCGAGCTATACCTTCTAATTTTTCTAATAAAGTACTTTCTGACAATGTATTATAGTCATCTAATTCCCAAATATTTCGTTCACCAGGTTGAGAAAAATCAATTTGATAGTTGCTTAAATTTTGACTCATTAACATTTGTTTCACGTTATGAGGGACATTTTTGCGATCACGATAAAGAGCACAGATAGAATCGGAAGTTTGTGATAAAAAGAATACCAAGAGATGATTAGATGCGTCCCATTGAACAATGGTCTCAAGTTGATCATTATCTTCGTTCTCTGGTAATTGTGTTGATTCTAATTGAGCTGCCTTTGTAGCGACCGAGCGAGTTGCAAAGTCCTTAGAAACATCAAGTAAGGTTTTCAACAATGTTGTACGAATGTTTTTATCTTTGACCATAAGTTTAATATTGTTGACATTGAAAAATGAACTCAATGATAAGCGAACTAATTGATCCGCAAATACATTTAAAAATATTTCTACAAAACGATAAGATTTTATATTTTCATCATTGCCTTCAAAAAAGTATTTTTGCACTAATTCTTGACATCGTGCTGGACTCATAGGTCTCTTAATAGTTCTTTTTCCAGTGAACAAAATATCTTTGACCATTAGTTGTTTACTGTCGTAAGCATCTAAATAATGAGACACTATTTGAATCGGACTAGTTATTTCACGCGAAACAATAAATTTTTTTTATGTCCCAATTCAAGTGCACCCTTTTAAGACATTTCGCAATTGGAATTGAGTTTAGTAAACGTTCATTATTAGATGATGCAACTTCTATGAACATAAGTCTTGGGAGAAAAACAAAATTCAGCTTGCTTGAGACAGTTCCAAGAGTTAGAAATTCGAAAAGAAAAGCATTAAGAGTATTAGGATTATTAGCAGAAACAATGTTCAAATGCATACTCTCCATATGTTTGAGTTTACATTCTTTTAATTTTTCAACTAATTCGTCAAAATATATGTTATCCCCTATCAACAAGCTTCGCGCAATATAATTATCTTTAGCGCTGGTATTCTTTATATATTCTGTTTTTCCTTGACCAGAAAATTCAGAGGTAACGCAAACCACGTTTGAGCAAAGTTCTTTGTACATATTTTTCATGGTATTTTCACCAAGACCGTTAGTGAAAAGCACATATTCAGAAAATTGATCAAGAATGTGATGATGAATTCCAATTTCTTGACAACATATCAAAGCTAAATAATAATCTGATTCAGTTTCTTGAAAACTACGTAATTCGTTAACTAATTTGTATTGTAATTCGAATTCAAGAAATTCTAAACCCGCAATGCAAAATAATCGTCCTTCATATCCATTTTTTGAGGCAAGGAAGCATCTTTTAATGTAAAGTGAAATTTCTTCAGCAGTTGTCGTATTTCTACACATTAACAGTTGCCATGGTTCAGGATAGAATTTGTGATTCGCATATAAAGACATAATAATGTTTGGTACACGAGCTTTGTCTGTGCACGCAGCGACAAATAATCTACCCTGGTAAACTATATCT